TCCCACCTCTTTTTTTTAAGCCTCGATCACACTACACATTTCGCCCCTGGACTTCCATGCAATTGCAGCAGACTGGAAATGCAAGGTTGTGCGACAAATTTTGCATGTTGCTGCATTCGAAAGTTCAAGCTTGGTGAACTCTGATCTGTGAAATAGGATCACCAATAGAAGATCAAAACATGATCTCTCTTTACAGAAATGTTAAATATGGAGCAGTCCCTTGCTTTATCAATGTCTAATCAATGTTTAATGCCAATCCTGTCCAAGCCCCTCACGACAGAATTGTGCATGCTCAAATTCTAAAGTTCTAATCGTGCCTTTATTCTTTGATGTTGGCATGCAATCTGCTGTGTCTTCGGATGTAACCCTATGACTTTGCAGGTGTCCTTACACACAATCCCAGCTTCAGAAAAGAAAACAGTAAAATGGAATAGTTTTATATATGAAGGGAATAAATGTGCTATTTTAAATGTCCATGCAATTTTAACATGGTAACACCTGCTTCTTCTTTTTTTAAATGGTGGTTGCAAAACCAGTTTATAGACTGTGAAGCTCAGGTGTAAAGGGAAAAAAGAACAACAAAGTGTCAGATCTGTATCTCACACATAACCGAATATCATACATACTTTTATATGCACACCTTTTTGTAATGGCAATTGTTGTGAAAATAAACTTGAATTGTACAGTGCTATTGAATAAACAACGGCCAAAGTGCTCTACTAAATAATTACTTAACATAACCAGCCAAACAATTCAAAAAGCCAAAAGATGAGGAGCCTAACAGCACAATAAACAACAACCAAACAAACCTAAAGCAGTGGAACTCCCTACTCCAAACAATATCAAAAGGAAAGTATAAAAGGAGAACACAACAATAAAGTCACCAAAAACTGTAGTGGTGTGCAGGAATGAGGGGACCTGAGAAGTCCGTTTCCACTTTACAATGCCTCACGCCACCTTAACAACCAATAGAAAACTGAAAAGGGGAAAAAAGGCAAACAAGATCAATTGAAAGTAATAATATGTTATGGGCAGGAGTGAACGCTACACGTAACACCTCCACCCCTAAAATGATAACTGGTAAATGAAGCAAAAATAATACATAAATAAAACACCACCCGTTACCACATAGTAATATGTGACATTGCATCAGCCAGCATGTTAGCTTTACCAGCAACACGTTTCATTTCCAAGTTAAAAGCTTGGACAAACAAAGCCCATCACACCAAACGCTGGTTAGAATTACGCATTTTATAAATAAGGTGTTGTGATCAGTGTGGACAATAATTGGATAGGATGAAGAGCCAATATAAACTTCAAAGTTGTTGAGGGCCAAAGCTAGCACCAGAGCTTCCTTTTCAATTGTTGAGTATGCTTTTTGATGTCTTTGGGATATTTTTAAAAGTAGCACACTGGGTGCACAACTCCAAGCCCAACGTGCAATGGCACAGCACCCACCACCACATAGCAAGTATCAACAGCCAATTTGAATGAATGGTCGTACACTACAGCAGCCAAGACGGGTGCATGCATTAAAAGGAATTTAAGTGATTCAAAAGAATGTTGACATTATGGTGTCCATTTAAAAAATGACTCTGGACTTAATAGTTCTGTGAGAGGAAACTACTGTCAAAGGTTTTAAAAAAACTACGAAAATTTTCAGCCATTCCCAGAAAGTGTTGTAATTTGCAGTGCATTGAAGAAACTGGGGAGGATGAGATGGCTTCATGTGCTGGCTTAACAATGCCACTATCCACGATCTTACCCAAGTAGACAACCGTTGCTTTTGCAAAATCAGATTTGGTCAAATTAATCGTTAAATTGGCCTCAGTCAATTTTTTTTAAAACCTGTGTTAATTGATTGATATGATCTTGCCACAATGTTAATTAGACAACAATGTCATCTAAATACACCTCACTTCCTGACACTCCCCCCAACACACAGCTAACTAACTGCTGAAATGTTGCGGGTGCATTGTGTTCTCTAATAGGCATTACTGTATACTGTAAAAAGGTATCTTAAAAAGGTAAAATAAAAGCTGTAATTTCCTTGGCGCATGGCGTAAATGGCACCTGCCAATTACCTTTAAGCAGTATTTTACCCAGATATGATAATATTTTAATTTTGGGTGATTTGTTATATTCATGTTTGCTGCACAAAAGAAAATTTAGCAAAGGATTTTTTTAATCTCATAGACTCTTAAAATTTGAAACAGCATGTGCAAGGGCCCACTCACAACCATGGGCACACATTGGATTGTGTTTTGACATATGGTCTATCAGTCTGTAATATTGCATTAGACGATATGGCATTTTCAGATCACAAAGCGGTCACTTTTGAGATCACTTTTACCCATGAAATAAGCAACTCACCTATTGTCTTCAGGCGGTTTCGTAGATTTAATGGTTCTTCTATTAATCTGTTTAAAGATTTGTACTATAACGATCAACATACAACTATGCTAGAGAACCCTCCCTCTTATACGGATGTGGACCGATTGCTGGAGTTGTTCAATTGCTCCTTTTCTTCCATCTTAGTCTTTGTTGCCCCCCCAAAAACTAGAACTGTTAAGCCTAGATCTGAGCCTTGGCTGAATGAGACAACTCTGGCATCTAGAAAGGCCTGCAGAAAGGCTGAACGTAAGCGAAAGAGAGATAAACTACAGGTGTCATATGAGGTCTTTAAGGAATCTCTCTCCAATTATCAGGCTTCTATGAAGGAGGCTAAGAGGAAATATTTTTCTGAATTAATCAGTAATCATCAAAATAAGCCTGATGTATTATTCTCCTGCATAAGTTCTGTGATTAACACTGGGCTGAATGTTGTTATGGAGGAATCATGTGATACATGTGAAGCTTTTTAAACAACTTCACAGAGAATATTTCTTCAATTAGGTCTAGAATTGTTAGCTATAATATTGTTTTTTCTGGAACCTGATGTGTCCGCTGCTGCACTTGTTAGTTTCACATCTGTCTCTCTTGTGTCTCTGACTGCAACAGTATGCCAGATAAAACCCAGCACTTGTCCATTAGATATTTTTCCATTAAAGCTTTTAAGCAAGCCTTTGAGATGATTGGCCCTAGTATTTTGTCCTTTATAAATAGGAGTCTTGTTTCTGGTATGGTACCTTCTCAATTAAAACATGCTCTTAAATGCTTTAGATCTTATTTGTCAGATAGAAGCTTTTGTGTTAATGTTGGTCAGACCTTTTTATCCTCCAGACCCCTGACATGTGGAGTTCTACAAGGGTCTATTCTTGGACCTACATTATTTTCTTTATATATTTTACCTTTAGGATTAGTTTTCGTAAATATGTAGTGGCTTTTAATTTTTATGCTGACGACACTCCGATTTATGTCCCTCTTAAAAGTAATAATAAAAATGGGCTTGACTCCTTTTTGAGATGTCTGATTAAGGTTAAAACCATGGCTGTCGTACTTTTTTTGGAATTTCAATGAAGCTGGTCTGGTCTGGCGATCCTAACCCTTTGTTTTTTCCATTTACAACTTATGGCAAAAGTAATTTCTTTCTTTTAATGACCTTGAGAAGGTGATCCATGCTTTTATTTTGGGAAGACTTGACTATTGCAACTCTATATTTGGGTATTAGTCAAAATGCCCTGAATAGATTGCAATTAGTATAAAATGCAGCTGCGAGACTTCTGACAGGGACTTGCAAGTATAAACACATTTCCCCAGTTTTCTCCTTTCTGGGCTGGCTGCCTGTTAGGTCACAAATTCATTTGAAACTATTAGTTTTTGTTTATAAATCCTTAAAAAAATCAGGCACTACCTTACATATTAGACTTCCTACATGTGTATAATCCTGGTAGGTCATTAAGATCTTCTGATCAGTTTATTCTTTCGGTGCCAAGGTTCCGGTGTAAGCAAAGTGGGTATCAGACTTTTGCTGTTATCGCCCCAAAACACTGGAACGGGCTTCCACCTCACATCAGACACGCTCTAAATCCCATCTGTTTTTTTAAAAAGCATCTGAAACTCCATCTTATTCTTTATTTGAGCCTTTTTAATGTTTAGGGCTTTGCCTTATATTTGAATTGTTATGTATGTGATGCAGGTTTTATTATTTAGTATTGATTGTGTTCAGCACTTTGAGCAACGTTGTGTTGTAAAATGTGCTATATAAAAAAACTAACTAACTAATTAACATTAATATTGGAATGTATTTTCAACCCTGATACAGCCTCAGAAAGGGTCAGAGGAGAAGCAGCTTATTACATTAAAAAATATATCATGTGAAATGAAGTGTTTTTGACAGGATAAACATTTTGTTTTTACACTACTATTAAATGGGCCTTTGATGTCACATTTAACCCTTTAAGGGGGGACTTCCTTAAAAGTTTTTTTTTTTCTGGCCCACATTTTGTATTGAATAATGTACTGACAAAACTCTAAATAAAAATAATGATAACCTATGGGTAAAAGGTTAACCAGGTGGTTATGATAATTATTAAAGGGTGAAGGCTAAGACTTAAATTAATTCGGATTTTATGAGATAATATAGATTACATATAATGTTTTTAAAAAGCTAAAAATGCCACATTGTTACTTTTATCATTCATTAATTTTCTTTTTGGCTTAGTCCCATAGTGGAATGAACTGCCAATTTGTACAGTTGATGCCCTTGCAGCAGCAATCTATTACTGGGAAACACCCATACATTCTCATTCACACACATGCACTACGGACATTTTAGCTTATCCAATTCACCTGTACCGCATGTCTTTGGACTAGTGGGGGAAACCGTTTCACCAGGAGGAAACCCATGCGAACGCATGGAGGACATGGAAACTCCATGCAGAAATGCCTGACCAAGCTAAAGCTCGAACCAGCGACCTACTTTCTATGAGGTGAGAGTGCTACCCACTGAGCCACCGCATTGCCCTGTTACTTTTATCAATAAAAGACAAATTCAGTTCACTTGAAGTAAGCATTTGAAGCAGTGATATTTAACATTCATACTTTTAAACAAACATCCTCAGGTCTTTCAATCCTAGTACTTAGTGCAGATGAAGTTGAGCCGGTCAGTTTCAGGACGGCTGATCCAGGACTGACCTTGTCCAGACTGAACTGCTCCAGAACTCACTGTGGGCTCACAAATCTTCTCTGATGTGCCGTTCCCTGGAGCCCAGTTCTGATAGCACACGGTCTCTCCACTCACCCAGTACCAGATGTCCAAAATGTGGGAGAATCGTAAACCCAACCACACCGCCTCAGTAGACGCCAGTTTAACCACGTTCATCACCTCATACTGCATCTCCACTGACTGAACCGAGACCAGATCCACATGATGCTGTCTGCAGTATCTCAGAGCTTCAGACCACGACAGATTCTGCTGGACCACAATCAGTTTATCTGGACACAAAACAAAGCAGAAACTAGAGAGAGACTGATCAACAACAACATGCAGAACAAACTCTGTGGAGGAATTTGTCATGTCAGACATGTAGAGTCAACTTTAAGAGATCAAGAGCTGATGATGGATTGAGTGTGTGTGGAGGATCTGCTCACCTTCATGACACACAAAAGGATACTGCCAGTCACAAGGAACATCTGCCCAATATCCTTGAGTGTTCTCCATTAGCACTGTACAGTTTTCATGACCTCCACTATTATTTGGTTCACCTGTATTCCAGTATCTGAATGAGGAGCTGCTCTGATCTGTCCACTGCCATGTGTCTCTGAACAGACCGATCCAGATTCCAGATCCAGATAAGTTTCTGTCATTAATGAACGTTTTCATCTGTTCATTCTCATTCTGGTTCCTCACACTGACCAGATCAATGTGATTCTGTCTGCAGTAACTCTGAGCGTCTACCCAGTTCATTGACTGTTTGACATACACCAGTCCTCTGCTCACTTTAGTAAAATCAAATAGAAAACATTAATAATTCAAGTTAACATTATTCTTACGTTGATGTGCAGTTTGTTTGTGAACAGAAGCAAATGACTGTATTACAGAAAACTTGTGGTGGGTTTTTATGTTTATAAATATTACTATGAGATTTGAGGTCATTAATCTTACACCCCATTCACATGGGGCCTTCTTCCCGTTCACTTTGAATGGGGGACGTCAAGCGTTGCCAATCAAAATTATGGGATGCTTCAGTGGCGTTGCCACTTTTCAAGCGCCAACGAAAGTGTCAGCCCATCAGATCGCTTTATGCAACTACCCCAGCTCACACAGTATTGTGGACTAATTGTGGACGCTGAAGCCCCGTGTGAATGCACAGTAAGAGCTGAAAGAACACAATTCAATCTCTTTTCTTTTTTCCTTTCAGTAAGCAGTGGATTTTTTTCAGATGTAAACTATTAAGAATTCTTTTGTATTGATTTTACACTAATGTATAAAGGTTTACTCTTGTTACATTTCTTTTCTATTTAAATCATCTTTAGTTAATGAACGTTAGTTACTGTAGTGGTTTGTACTCACTGTTGTAGCAGATGAATGATGTGTAGGTGGCACTACATGGCAAAACATACCACTGTCCACCTATTATATAAGCACATTTATCACCGCCGACTGGTTGTCCAGATGCCCAGTTCTTAAACAGTGTAGGATCACCTGAAGACCAATGCCAATTATAATCACTTGTCCTCTGAAGACCAATCCAGACACGTCTATCATTCACTTTCACACTCTTCATCAGCTCGATCATGTCGTTCATGTTGTCAACAGTGGCCAGATCTGTGTAATTCTCTCTGCAGTATCTCTGAGCTTCAGTCCAGTTCTTTGTCTCATTTATAAAGTGATACTGACGCTGAACACATTCAGATATGGAGCAGAGAGCTGTGAAAGAGACACTTTGCTTTAATGCTTTTCAGAACAGAGTCAAACCTAATGAAACTATAAACCATAAATAAAACTACAAACACACTCACCAATGAGGAGAAGAGGGAAATATAGAGACTGAGCCATTTCTGAGGAAGAAATTGACAAAACATTCATAATCATTAGCATTATGTCGGAAGTGTATAATATGAATGTGAGTAGTTCTTACCTCAGAGCTGGTGTGTTTCTGTCTTCAGTCTGATGTGTCTGTCTGCAAATTCAGACTGCCTGATTCTATTTCAGCTCATCACCGCATTTGGTTATTACTCTAAACAAGGGACTTTTTCATTTTTCTTCCTCATTCACATGTTTTTGCATATGTCCTCTCTGTGTGATTCTGTACTTCTTTGCAAGTGTGTTCATTTAAATGTGGTAGAGAGTGGAGTCTGTATATTTCAGAATTCATATTTCCGTAACAGCTTCACAGGGAAAATCCAACTCAACATTTGCATCAGTTTTTATCTACTTTCCGTGTGCTCTCAGCTTCAATAATCCAGTGACTGACAGCATGTATTTCACCACAGCACAATATTTTTATATTTTATATGTCCCCATCAGCACACTATCTCTGTGTTGTGTCATAACACCACTTGAATCTTAAACTGTGTTTTTTCTGCTGATATTTACTTTTAATTTTACTGTCAAATCTGATTATTTGTGAATCAAAATTTATTTGTCCAGTATGTTGTGGTGCTCTTCTGTTATGATAGGAAAATCTGTACTGATTTATATGACACTGGGGCAATTTAATTTTAATATTTGTCAATGGTGTCAAATGCTGCACTAAGATCGAGTAAAACTAATAGCGAGATGCACCCTTGGTCAGCAGCTATGAGTAGATCATTGGTTATTTTCACTAATGCGGTTTCTGTATTGTGATGAGCTCTGAAACCTGACTGAAACACTTCAAAAATATTGCTCGTCTGCAGAAAAGAGCATAATTGAGTGGAAACAACTTTTTCTAGTATTTTAGACATAAATGGAAGATTTGAAATAGGCCTGTAATTAGCTCAGTATTTGGGGTCCAGTTGCGGTTTCTTTATAATAGGCTGAATAACAGCTAGCTTGTAAGAGTTTGGAACATGGCCTATAGATGAAGAAGAGTTGATAATGTTAAGAAGAGGTTCTCCTATAGCAGGTAGCAGCTCTTTCAGTAATTTTGTTGGAATTGAGTCCAGCATACACGTAGCTGGTTTAGAGCTATTTATAATTTTATCTAGCTCTTCCTGTTCTATGATGTTGAAGCAGTGTAGATTATTCTGATTCAGTGAAATATTTACAGGATTTGGAGTATAAGGTGGTGCAGAAAATTTAACATCTCCTATTTTCAGTCTAAAGCCTTCTATTTTATCACTGAAAAAATTCATGAAGTCATCAGTACTAATTTGTTGTGGAACATTTCCGATTATTTGCTAATTTAGAGATGGTGTTAAATAAAAATTTTGGATTGTTATGATTATTTTATTATATTATTGTATTATTGATTATTGTATTATATTATCAGTTTGCGGAGGTGCTCGGCCTTGGCAGATATTAGAGCCCTCCTATAGCTGGACATTCTATCATTTTTGTACGCAATTCTAAAGACCTCTAAATTAGTTTTTTTTTCTTTCCATTCACCTTCCAGGGCTCGGGTTGCTGTTTTGAGAACACGAGTATGACTATTATATCATGGTATAACCTATCTGCTGCTGCTTTCAGTATATGGCAATAAATCTAATGTAAAATAGCATTCAGACTTACCTTATCAGCATTTAATACAGAATAAAGCATGTAAGGGTCCATCTATTAGTCCTATGACGGAACTAACAGCATGGGGGAAGGTTAAATGCGTAAAGTCTTTATAGCACATGTGAAAAGTAATATTTTTATTTGTTTTAATTTGTTTCCAACTCTAAATTTTAATCTGACTCCAATTTATAATAATCGCAATTTAGATTCATCTAATTCAAGCTGATCACCTTATAGGACATGATTTGGTCTAATTAAGATTGATTAGCCTAATAAATCCTTATTCTCAGTTAATGGTTCATCGTTTACCTGAAGTCGCTTAGAGTCAGTATACTGGCCAGTTTTATCTGCTCACGTACACATCCTCGCAAGTTCTGGTTCTTAGATAAAGGAAATTAGTTTACAGTTATATCCTCTAAGTAATAATAGGCCGCCCCATGCTGGCTCATACATAAAGAAAGTTTAATTTAGCCTCTAGATAATATCATACCAAATCAGTGATTGTCAGAAATCAGCAGGTCTCTAATGCTGTGCCCATGATCCATCCATTGAGCCTGAATGTATGACTAATCCTGGTCATAGGCTCTGGAAACATCAGCCTAAACAATCTACTAGATTTAAAAGATTTCAGCAGATATTAGAGTTAAACAAGAATTTCACATTTATTTTACAGGCAAAGATTTTCCATTCCAATTCACATAATTAAACAAAATAAGCCAATCAAAATTGCACAACATCAATTATTCAAGGATACATTTAAGATTTAGGGATGATAGCTGTGTAGAAATATATGCAGCATATAAATTCTGATGCAGAGCTCAGAGACTCAACACTGCAACGGGGTATCCTGTCAACAGACAATTCTGCACCCCTTGCCTAAATACTCAAATCATCATAGAATCAAGACAGTCAAGGCTTCACCAAGACTCTTGTCGGGTCATGAGTTGATGTGGAGACCATTTTCCCTGGAGTGAAGCATCTGGCAAAGACCTTATCAATGTCAAAACCCAAATTATCTGATATAAGGGAGAATGTATATTACAGTGAAATTAGGACCACTTTACCAATCACACAGAGACATTTAAAATGACACCAAACCTGAATATAAAGCCACAAGATACACCATACTAAAACTTTGACATTCTGTGTGGAACGTGAGTGAGCTGCTCTGGTGGAGAAGGTAAAGTCAAGGATAAAGAGGGGGGCTCAGAATGCATGAGAGACAACCTGAACAACTGCTTTCCTAGCTGATCTTCTTCTCAGTTTATAAAGTTTATCGTTTTAGTGCCTGACCATTCTCGTGATCTTGTTTCGTGTGGAGTGCCATAACAGTTTTCTATAACACCCCCTGGATTGCAGACTTTTCTGATGGCAGCCAGTACCCGCTGCGTAGGACATCCCCACACTTTTTGTTTTTTTCCAGCCCCTGTAAAGTCTCTGACACAGCTCCACCCTTACCCACTTTTCCCTTTTTCCAGCCTCTGTAAGTAGTGGACACTGACACATCCTCTTCCTCGAACCCGACCCCCACCCGGTCTCCTGAATTTTATAGATAAATGTTGGCAGGTATGGTCTAGGTTTGTTTGGTTATTTATTTAATGTTGTTGGGCTCAACATCTCTCATTGTTTGGATTGTTTTTCTGGTTAGTTTATTTTAATAAATTATTCAGTTGGAGAACTCTTATTTAAATGGCACCTAGATTACCCCTTTTTCATATTTATTATAAGTCTATTGTGTCCCCAGAATGTGTCTGTAAAGTTTTGGCTCAAAACACCCATCAGAGTATTTATTTTAGCTGTTTGAAGTGTCTGTATTATAGCTGGGAAAAGGTTGTTGCTGATTTTTTTGCACTGGGCTTTTTGGGCGCGACATCCCCGCCCACCGTTCCCACATGCCTGTCAGCAACATGCCTTAATCGCCACCCTCGACTGCCTCAGGAAGCAGATCTCACATAATTTGTGAGAAATACTACAGTAAGAACTTTACCAATCAGTATTTAATGCATTTTTTTTGTAGAGTTGCAACAATGAGTTCACACACACACAGCACAGACACGTGGCGCAGACACACACACAGCACAGACAAGTAGTGCAGACACACACACACAGAGAGACAGTGAGAGAGACGCGCGGCTGTGTTGATGAAGTAAAGCTGAAGTGAATCAATGTACTTCATTACACACGTGCACACGTTTTAAAACATGTTAAACTCACTCTTGATCACGTCTGATGATGATTGATGATCTTAGCAAACTGAACAGACCTTTTATTCCCGGTTGCTTTGCGCTCGTCCTGTCTTATCAATATGAGTATATGCATTACTATGGAGACATGTTAATGCACGCAACTGTCAATCAATATTGGTGGGCGGGGGGACCGCACTCCTATGTCAAGTTGCGGTCAGTCTGAAAACCGCTCTAATTGGTCCACCGTTTTTATCTTGTTAAATTTAAAAAAAAAAAAGGACTGGGTGTTTATTTCACCCCAATATGACAGTATATACACTATACTTACATGTATGCTTGAAAAGTAGATTTTTCACCTTAAGTGCCCTTTTAGTAGAAACTGTAACAGAATGACACACAGATGGCTATTGCATTTAGTTCATTGGATCATATTGCTTTCTCACAACTGAACTGCCCCAGAGAGTTTGCTTTAACTAAGCCGAGATCACCCTCGTTCAAGCGATCTCTGACTGTTTTGGCATGGACCTGAGCATGATTGCAGTGTTCACATATGCTCAAACTAACCAAGCTAAGGAAGCAAACACACCAGTTTCCAAATCAAATGTCTGAAAAACCTCAACTTTTCTTAGATCTGTTTGAAATATCATTGCTGGTTATGTTGGGGTTAGCTTCACACTCTGAAAAAAAAAAAAAAAAAAAAAAAAAAAAAAAGTTGAGAAACCATCAGCCTTTCTTGCTGACCATAAGTCATTGAAACCATGTGACACCAAGCATGTGGGGGAAGAGGCTGGACTTAGGCTGTTTCTCAATTCCAAGAACGCAGAGAACGGACTTGTGTTCTTGTGGAGAGCGGTCTTGCCAGGTGTCCACGGAAGAACGAACTCAGAAGGCAGTGAGAGCAGAGGACGTGTCCTTTGAGAAATGAGATGCTGCGTTCTTCCTGATGGTCACATGACCTTCACATGTTTTAAATGGTAAATTATTTAAACATTACAGCACTCATACAACGATTTATTGTTTTTTCCCTTTTCAAAATATATACTGTGCATAAAAACAATATAAATATACTCTGCACAATATAAATAAAACAGATTTTAATACAGATTTCAGCAAAAAAACACCCTTAATGTGTTTATTCCTTTATTAAGATGTTCATGGTGATGTTTAATTTCACCGTTTCGTTTAGGGAAACTCCTGAGGTAAATAATTCATATCTCTGAACTTTAATAATAAATCTATATAAAATGCTGTGCTTCCCACCTCCAGTCGCAATGACTTCTGGGACTTCCAGAGCTG